TGGCACCGGCCGCCCCGGCCTCCCCTGCGCCTTCACCGTGCGACCGCCCCGTGCGGGGGCACAGGAGGGTCCCCCCAGCCCTGCCATCCCGCCACCCTGACCTGCTCCTCCGGCATCACGCGTGGTGCCCTTTCCCGGCCTCTGCTCCTCAGCTCCGTACCCTCCTCAGGCCATCGCGTCTCTCCGCAAGCCCCCTCCTGCCCGCACCCGCAGCCCCTTTGCGATATCGTCTCCAAAAGCCCGTGGGCTCCCCCCTTTCCTCACCCTTGTGTCTGTCATTGCACACTCTGCTCCCCCAACCCCAAGCTCTCCTAGCTGCCCTCCATCCAGCCCTGTGTCCCCCATCCCTGGGGCTTGCCTTAGCACCCCACTGCCTCTCGCCATCCCAGCACCCTGCGGAGCAAAGCTGGCGGCACACGGAGCTTGGGAAACACTCGCCCTTGGGCAGGGCAGAAACAGCCTCACGGGGGCCAGAGCGTGAGGAAGAACCACAGTGTGGACCCCTGTGGGGTGTGAGGCTCCCCCACGAGCCCTGCAGCCAGGGCAGGGTTCATAGGGCAGCAAAAGTGAGGCCCAAGCGAAACAGTGGCCATCTCCCCTCAGATAAGGACCGGAGCGGCTCTCTTGTCCTGTCTGGCAGCTCTTGAGCAGAGCTGGGCAGCACCGGAGCCTCCTGCAGATACAGTAAACACCGTTGTTGCCAAAAGGGCATTTTTCGGAAGTGCTGAGCTCCCCGGGGACCACACAAAGCTACAATGTAAAAGGAGCAGCGAATACCACACAGCCATAGAGCTGCAGTAGACAGTCTCCCACTCGCATTGGTAACAAGGGCTTTGTCACAGCTGCTCTTTTGCTTTTAAATAGGCCAAGTGATTGAATACACACAGTTGATAGATTGGTTTAACTGCTTGCAGAAGTCTTGTGAAGTGTGACTCACTCTTAATGGATGGAGGTAAAGAACACGGTGCCAAAGAATTTAGCAGTGAGGGACCAGGCTGAGCAGTCTAGGTCCACATGAACAGTTTCTCAACAGCCTGTTGGTGTATATCTACATTTAAAAGTCACAGCACTGATAAGTGCTGTTTCTCCCTAAGCTGCAAAGGGGCAGCAGGCGCTTTAATGCCTGGAAACTTGCTCAGAACAGCCTGACGCAGAGAGAGGTGTACTTGAGTCCCATCACCGACACCTTCAAAGAAAAGAAGAAAACCAAAGTGTTGTTTAAAGGCACATTGCTCTTGAGCTGAAGTTATGGGTTTGCTACAAGAACCCCCAGCTGAAATAGATCCATCCCTGTTAGATGGGATGTCAGGGAAGATGACTACTGTGACAGTTCTTGGCCTTATGGGGAAAAAAAACAAAGCAAACAAAACAAATAAAATATGTGCAAAGAATGAATCTACTTATATTGCTCAAAAAGACAGATAACAAGGAGAGTCAAGGTTGCTCCCAAAGCATTTCTGTTGTTCCAGACAAATAATATTGTGAAACTCACAAATTTTAAGAGGAGTTTTCTAGCTGCGCTTCCTCCCCCTCCCTACCAGTTCTTACTCTCCAACACGAGCAGGGTACGGGGCAGTCATATAAACCAACATTCCCTCCAACTCTCATTGTGGCAAAGGATAGCAGGTTTCACAGAATTTAAGGTTCATCTTTGCAACATAACCCCGTACAAACACAAACCTCATCCATTCTGGGATTCTGAAGTTCAGGTGTTTAATAAAACTGTTCTTTATTTGTAGACAGCGAGGTCATGAGCTATCATGAAATATTTAAGGCAATTCAATAGGGTGATGATTTCCTACCAACCTGTTACAAGCTTGAAATCTCTTGTGGGAAAAGTAGCTGTGTGTTATTTAGCTTACCTGTAAGTTCTGCTCAGGCACGTGCCACAATTGGAGACACACAATTCAAACTCAAACAAAACAGACAAGCCATTAACACCAGGATAGTTTTTATTTGCTCCCTGAATTAAATATTGTCAGATACAGAAAATTCAGATACCAACTATTTCCCCAACATTAACAAGACTGAGTTTGCAATGTCAGAAAACAAGGGCGGGCATTTATGCACAGCCCTGCAACTGGCACTGCGAGTGCACTAGATTGCCCTGCCTGAACATCAGCTTAAGAGGCAGTTAACCCTGGCCTCCAGCATCCAACATTGTCCCCTCACTGACAACTGTGGCACCATGGAATGGCCAAATAAATATCCTGAGTGGGCAGCTCCAGTGCATTTCCCGCAAGGGATTTATTCCATGCTCCTTCTGAAGGGGCAGAGGCAAGGTCAGCACATTCAAATACAACCCCTCTATCAGCAGAAACCGATACTCACTGTGTATTTTTCTACTGTTCTTGATGAGAACAGGGAAGTTCGCAGCCCACTTCCAAGAAGACTGTTCCTATGGGCCTTATTGCAACCACACTTTGTCCATGCCGGCAGGAGAGCACCAGGGACATCCTTGTTTCCCACCGCGTGCCCAGTTACTCTGCAGCTGCCGACCTTTGCAGCAGGCTTGCAGCACCTTCCCTGCCACCTGAGGGAAGGGAGGTTTCCAAATAAATAAGAGGGTGCATTTTGAGTAAGCAAGTGCGTATAACAACTCACATGGAAACACAAGAATGTGCTACTTAAGGAAATACTGTTCGCTTCTTTTCAGACTGGAGCAGAACTTAGGAACTTGCATTTTCCTTAAAGCAGCCAGAGAAGACAAATCAAATCGCATCTAGGATGTAGTGATCCCTACAGCATTTCACTGACCACTGCACATCCTTTATTAGCAAACCCCTGGCAGTGGGGGAGCTGAGCACACATTATCCCCTGTTCCACAGAAAGGGGAAAGACGTTATTTTACCAACTCTACTGTGCAATCTTCTGTTAAATCCTAGCACAGCAGATGGCAAAAAAATCTCCCTTTTGGAAAGATCACAGAGGTGCCTTCCAGGCTGCAAAATGCCTTAGGCATCCTCAGACAGCTGCATTTTCCCTGGCACTGGAAAGTCCTGAGTCCCAGTCCTGCACTCTTGATCCCAGCTC